CGCGTGACCCGTCGCGCTGCCCCGCAGCCCCGTGCGCCGCCCGCCCTCCTGCCACGGCTGCCTGCTGCGCCCGCGCGCTGCTCGTCGCGCCGCCCCGCAGCCCCGTGCAGCGCCCGCCCTGCTGTCGCGGCTGCCTGCTACGCCCGCGCACCGCCCGTCGCGCCGCCCCGCAGCCCCGTGCGCCGCCCACCCTGCTGCCGCGGCTGCCTGCTACATCCGCGCGCCGCCCGTCACGCTGCCCCGCAGCCCCGTGCGTCGCCAGCCCTACTGCCGCGTCTACCTGCTGCGCTCGCGCGCCGCCCGTCCCGCTGCCCTGCAGCTCCCTGTGCGGGACCCGCCCTGCTGCCCTGCCGGCCGCTTGCAGCCCTGCGTGCCGCCTGCCTTGCTGCCCCGTCGGCCGCCTGCTGCCCCGCGCGCCGCCTCTGCGCCTGCCCCTCCTGTGGCCGCCCACTTCAGCCCAGCGCGCCGCCCCTGCTACTGCTGCTTGCCTGCAATCGCTCTGCCCTGCCAAACCCGCGCCAGTAGATATGGCCACCCTCCGCGTTCTGTTAGGTAGTGATCACTGTGCTGTTGCTATTGAATACATACGTCTGCATGTGAACTGGCCTTGTGGCCCTTTGCTTGTGCTCGGAATGTGTGGTGACGTTGTGATCCACCCTGAGCTTGCTTTGCTTTTCTTGACTGGTCTTGTGACCCCTTGTTCTCCCCCACTTTGCCTGTGGGGATGCGTCAAAATATATATGTTATATTAGAATGTGTAGGTTGTAGTGGGGTAGCCAATATGGGGTACAACCCCTTTAGGGTTTCCATTTTTGTACCCCAACACTCCCATAGTTCACAGATTCTTGCTTCTCTCTCGACACTACCCCCAACGTCGGACTCACCTAGGAAGCTAATTTAACTTCTACTCTGCAGCTTCATGGCTACGTAGATGCGGGCCATGCGGGAGACACTGACAACAGACGCTCCCGCATAGGCATCATTTTCCAACTCCAACCTACTAGACTCATCTCCTGGAACTCCCAGAAGCAGGAACTCATCGCCCTTTCGTCAGCCGAAGCTGAGTTCATCGCCACAAGCGCAGCTGTTCGCAAAAGACTGTACTCGATGGAGCTCCTAAAAGAAGCAAAAGTGACAATGAACGTGCACTTTACGTTACTCTGTGAGAACCACAGCGCGATAAAGATCGCGAACAAGCCCGGCTTCGTGAACCGCACGAAGCACATCACACTCTGTTACTTTTTTTTTCGTAAATGAGGAAATCGACAAGGTCAAGGTCAAACTCACGTACTGCCCAACCGATCACATGGCAGTAAATTTCTTGACCAAAAAGTTGCCACGTCAGAAGTTTCAGCACTACGCCAATCTCTGCGGGATCTTGAAGAAGTCCCACGTGGCTCATCTTCAGGAATGAAGAAGAATGTGCAATAAACAAAAAATTGTTATAAACATTCCCGAAGGTTCTCTCATAGTGCACCACTTCATAACGAAGCAACGCTACTGTATTAACCCCCCAATAGCTCATATAGAGCACACGACAGCTCGAGGGTCACCTGAAGGTCCCGAGGGTTGTGCAATATCGGCGGGTGTTATGTCATGGGGAATACAGTACTGTACTTGCGGAACACCGGCTCTGTGCAGGATTGATATTCTAATTGTGACGCATCCTAATTGTGGGTATATACATGGGGAGGACATGCAAGAACAGAATCTAGCGGCAGAAATGCCTCAAAACTTTGAGCACACAGTAGTCTTGAAATCTAAGGGCGTATGCACTAGAGTTCGAAAAGGTTCGAATGCGGTTGGTAACCGGATTTGGTGCGTCTCGCTAATTCCTTTCGCGAGGACTTTTTGAAAAAGATAACACTTACGACTTCGACGTGTTCAAATTCTGAATTCCAAGCCTCATTCGAACAGCACTCTGGAGCGCGGTTCAAGCTTCAACTTGTGCGGCGTTGCGACGCTTACGACATGCTGACGTGTCAGATTTAACCCAATCAAATTTCGTGCGACGATGTCGGCACTATACAAAAGTTACGCACGCAACGACTTGTCCGAAACTTTAAGTGTTACTTTTGAGTGCCCGAGCAATTTTTACAAGACTTCGCGCCAAAAGCCATGAGTTCGAATAACGGGTGTTCGGATAACAACAGCGACGGCAGTTCGATTCCAGTGTTCGATTTTCACAAAATCGAGTACTAGTGCACACGCCCTAAGCTTTGCCCTCATACCCCAACAACAAAACACTTATAACTAATTTGAAGTTTTCCTACAGCGCATACAACCTCATTTTGGGGGTGCCAGGCTTGGTCCCCGACGCTTCATCGCGTCGATTTCGGGCTTGCTAGCCTTGCTTTCCCGCGCACTGGTTTCCCCTCGTAATTGTGCCAAGAACTCCGCCACACCGACTGAAACTGATTAGTTTTCCCGCCTAATTCTCGCCGTGTTGTTTGGCCAATCCAATTGCAACCGAGCCACTTGTCAACAAGAATTGAATTCAGCAAGAGCGTTTATTCAAACGGGCAGATACCCCTCATTTTTTTCTTCCGACGTATTCTTTTTAAGCTAGGCATTAATTTGGCATACAGGGTGACAAGTTCGAGCCTCAAAGGCGAGACTTGGGGTGGGTGGCGTAAACGAGGTCGGGGTGGGAGTTGATTTGGAGAGGAGGAAACACAGAAAACGCCTTGTAAAAAAACGATACGACAACGCAATGGAATGCGGGGAAAGCCACGCGTTGTTGCCCCCACTTCCTTCCGCGCAACAAAAGCCTGGCTCTGGGGCATTTCGCCAAGCCCACCCGCCACACCACCACCAGACAAGCAGCAGCTGCACCAAAAAGATGGCAGCAGGCTCTTGAATCTGGTAGTAGGTATGTGCACCGCTGTGCGGACTAGGGTGCGGTCTAGGGTGTCTGGTGTGTGGCGCGTGCAAACGGCTGTACTGTACGTGTCCCAAGTTATCCCAAACCGTAGTAAACCAGAGCAACTGCTGTGGAACTGCTTTAACATAGTCGTTTTTGACTAAAACGTTTCAGCCTCACCCAAGCCGCTGTCAAATGAATGCGGAGGTACAGTCGAGCGACCTTCGTAGTGCTGACGTGCCATGCATGTGATGCCGTTGCTAGGCAGGAAACCACGGACAGCACCCCGACCCATTAAGATGGACAGGTCCAATCATGTCGTGTCCTTTTGCGGAGAGACGACTCATTCAGTCTTTTTTGTTGGGCGGGAATTAAATTGTCACTCACCCCTGTGGGGTGCCTTCCGTTACTTAGGGGCAACGAGTTGGAACCATGACCCGTCAACAGGGACTCGAGCCACACGAGGGCTTGGAAGTAGTACTTGTAGTGCTACCTGCTCGCACCAATTTCGTGAGAAGTTCAGCGCGAGGAAACCAGGCTTGCTTCGTGCGTGACAGAGATGACGATCCGTGTAGACTCTCGGCGCTTCAGAGGTTTCCACTCCCCGGATAGGCAAGAAGAGGCCGCGCACGGTGGTTACCTGCGACGTCCAGACGACCTCGGCGTCTGTGGCTGGCAGAACTCGTCGCGGGGCCGCGGGGTGCAAAGGCCTGTCGGAGTCACAATCTGTCGCACGTGCTGCTGCGAGTCGCCTTGCTGCCGCAGCGTTGAGGAGTGCTGTCGCTTCCCCCCCCTGTTCTTCTGCATCATGTTTGAAGGTCTCACGCGGGTTGTCACCTGCCCTGCTTGCGACGAGTGCGGTAACGGGGCGAGCGAAAGCGCGCGTAAGGGTTGCGACGGCGACAGCGCTGAGGAATGCTGGAGGAATGCTGGCAGGGGCGCGGGGGGCAGTGATTGCGTGACATCCGGCGCAGCATGTTGGAAATACCCAATTTTGGAGCATCTTGTTCGTCTACGGATCATGGATAGCAAGGGTGGAGATGCGGCTGATTCACCAGCGCCGTCAACTTCCATCGTCGCACAGCCGGCGCCTCACTTGGCGGAGGCGCCGCCGCAAACCTACGCCACTGCAAGCGGCGAGACACGCGAGGCGCAGTTTCTGTTCGCGCTGGAGCTGTTCGAGAGGGATTCGCGTGCGCGCATCAACAAGCCCATGGTGGGCGCGGTCATCAATCGCGAGCACAACCAACGAGGTGACTACTGTGCCTCTGGCGCCGCGGCGTTTGAGCACGGGTGGGGCGAGGAGCTCTGGCGGCAAGACCCGCTCTTGTCGTGCTGCGTCTCCGCAGTGCACTGTCTCACGAGATTGCTGCACGCGACCCGCGTGTCTAACTCGCTGACGTCAGCGTGGTCGACGCGCAAGAGAAGCAACGAGCTCGCGGGGCGGTCGAGTTTATGGCACTGGCGGGCGGCTGCGGGGCAGGCGAAGGGAAAATATTGCGCGAAGAAGCTAGGTGGACTGAAAGAGGGGACGATGCTGTTGTTGCCTAGGGTTTGCGGGTGAACCCTTTTCTGTGAACGCTTGCTGAAATTTGGACACGATGGAACTGGTCCCAGGCGCGGGAGGGGAACGGCGAGCCTCCAAAGCCTGCCGGTTTTGGTTTTGAGGGCGAACCCTTGGAAACCCTTGCTGAAATCTGCATACGATGAAGTTGGTGGGAGCTGCGGGAACGGTGAGCCCCCAAAAGCTCCTGCTTTTGTGATGCATCTGTTCATACCATATCAGGGATACTCCCTGGTTATTTCATGTGTAGAGGCCATTGTACCATCCATATTCTGCTATGTGTAGCAATACAGAACAGAAATCCGAATCCATGAATAACCACCTCAGAGGACCTAAAGAGGCCAGTTCCAGTATATTGGCTCATCCCTAGTTAGCTGCCTTGGCTCATCCCACCCCTCATTAGCAGACTTAGGCTGATTTTTGCAGCGCCTAACAATCCAGATACAGAGTGAATGTAGCAAGCATACGGTATGTACAGGGAGGACAGGGCAGACCGTGCGCCGCCATAACAACAGACTACAGTGGTTGTTGATGGGCAAACGGCTGCTTATTGCCTCTTGCTAACAAACACCTTCAATTGTATTTCATGGGCGCACTGCTGAGAGCGAACCCGAAGCTTGAGATGGCGCGCTCCAGCGAGGCGGTGGCATGAGAGTAGAGCGCACGAGAGACAGCAGGCCAGGGGGGCATGGAGCGCACGAGGAGACCGCGGGCGAACCAGCAGGCGCAGAGAAGCGGCACCGCTGCCGCCGCTGCTGCTGCCACCATTCGAACGCGGTAGGAGGCGGGGGAGAGGGCAGGCGAAGCAGAGGGGCGGCGGGAGGGCATGGCGAGGGCGAGGGCGAGCGCAGTAAGCAGCGCAGCGAGGGCAGTGAGGGCGAGCAGAGTGAGCAGCGCGGGCGGGCAGCGGTTCGGCTGCAGGCAGGCGAGCAGCGCCAGCAGCGTGGTGAGCAGCAGCGCTGCCGCAGTGGCCTTGAGGGCCGCCCGCCACAGCAGAGGCTCCGTGGGGAGGGCGAGGGTGTGGGGCTGGGGGTACAGTGATTGGGGGGGAGCAGGTGAGGAGGAGTGCAGTGAGGGGCGTGGCGTGGCAGTGGGAGCGAGAGAACTGGAGGAGGCAGTGATGCACACAGAGGCAGTCCCCTCACTGCCCTCACCCTCCTCCTCACCCTGCCACTCCTCCTCTCCCCGCACCTGAACCACCCTCGCCGTCCTCCCCACTTGACCCCCACGCCCACGCCTTCCCCGCTGCCCTCTCCCCTCCCTGCCCCTGCTCGCCTCCTGCTCATCACCCCCCCCGCCACCCCACACCACCTCCCCCCCACTCGCCCCGCCTGGCCGCTCCTCCAAGGCTGCTGCCTCCTCCGCTGCCACCTGGCACGCCGTCAGCCGCTGGGTCGCCGCCGCTAGCTCTTCCCTCAGCCGCCCGAGTGCCAGGCTGGCAGCCGCCAGGTCAGCCTGCAGCTGAGTGCAGCGCAACTGCGAGGCGTCCACGTCAGCATGCAGGCGCGCACAGCGGCGACGCTCCCTCACCAGGCCTCTCTCTGCCTCCTGCCTCGCCGCCGCCTCGTCGCCCAGCTGGTGTGCACCGCCCCGCACATGGCGCGGATGGGGCGGTGCGGGTGGTTGGGGTGGTTGGGACGAGCGTGAGGGAATGGGATGGCACATGAAAAGATAAGACCAAGGGGCAGGGAGCAATGGCACATAGTGAGAGGCGAGAGGGACGAGTGAAGAGACGAAGACGGCGATGGGCGAACCAAGGATGAGGCGGTGGGCGAGTGCAGGAGGGGCGAGTGCAGGAGGGGCGAGTGCAGGAGGGGAGAGTGCAGGAGGGGAGAGTGCAGGAGGGGCGAGTGCAGGAGGGGCGAGTGTGGAGAGGCACAACAACCCTCCATCCACCAACGCGTTAATCCAAACCCCCATCTCTCGCCCATTTCCCCCCACCCCTAAACCCGGCGCCACCACCTTACCCAATCCTTCTGCACCACTAACCCTTTATCTTTCGCCCCCCACCCCCCCCTTCTCTCCCACCTCGCGCACGGCGCGCTGGAGGCACTCCTTGAGCTGCGCGCGCTGCGCCAGCGCCTTCCTCAGCCGAGCCGCCGCCTCGCGCGCCGCCGCCTCGCTCGCCTCCCTCGCCGCCTCCTCCCGCTTTGCGCGCTGCTGCAGCGCCGCCGCCGCCTCGCGCCAGTACCCGCCCTGCTGCTGCGCCTCCGCTAGGCTCGCGCGCATCTGGGGAGAAGGCGGAGCGCGAAGGGGGAGAACGGGGGACAGGGAAGGGCGGGAGAGAAAAGTTAGAGGCGAAAGCGGCGACAGCAAGACTGGTGCGACGCGTGTTGGCGAGGAGGGCGGATGGAGAAGAGGCGAAGCGAGATTGGGGTCAGCGGAGGGGATGCGGTGCGGGGAAGGCGAGGGGACGGGTAGATCCGGAAGGCGATGCGAGGCGGTGCACGGTTTGTAATGACCGCTGATGTGCCATGCGGCGCGCGGGAGACCGAGCTGGCTGCACGCGGCGTGCTACGAGGAGAAAGCGATGGCGAGGCGTGGAGGCGAGACGGTGGAGCGAGGTGATGGCGGATCTGCGCTCTCCGCCGCCTACTGCGCGCGCTTTTGCTGCGCGCAGAATCCGTCGTGCCTCTGCCATCCAGCACGCTCCCCTGCGCGCACCTTGTTCTCGCGGAGGGCGGCGGAGAGCAGGCGGAAGGGTAGCAGGGGAAGCGCGCAGATGGCGGAAAGGCAGGTCGACGCGAGGAAAAGCTGAAGGCGCACAGCCGACCAGATGAACTGGCGGAGAGGTGACGTGGCAGATGCGACGGCTGACGTGGTATAGACAATGATGGACAGCGGTCCATATTCGTTCGCCATGGCGGCGAGGTAGCGGCACGACGACGAGCAAACATGAGAGAAACGGAAAAAGCATGAGGCTGGCGAGATTCACTGTTGGCGGGACCTTCAAACGAGTACCTTAGCTGTTGCTGATGCCACAACTGTAACGGATCTATTGGGCTGGTTTATGAATGTGGTGCCATATAAAAGACTTATACCTTCAATGACTTTCCACTTCAAACTAAAAGGTACAACCACGCAACTCCTGGAATGACAGGCTCAGCCCAAAATGTTTGAGCCCAAACTCCACTTCTAATATCGTCTCCTAACAAGGTCAGTCTCTATATCATGCGTAGGCTTTCATTTGGTCAAAAACTACCATTTGAAGTCCACCCCCATTTCCAATGTACAGTAGTTTGGACCGAGAGTGACGTGGTGGGCTGCAGAACAATTACGGTAGATACGAAAACACCATCATCGTCAGGAAAATTGTGAATAAACCTTGGGACAAAACTTTTGCCCTGGGGCATGGCAGTTCAAGCTCGTGGGTTTTTGAGTGTTGTGAGGTTGATTCTGATGCATGGCAGACTGTCACCCGCGCCAACGCACTTGGAAACCGCCAGTCACCGCTGCTACCATAGATTTTGTGACCCCTCACGTCGCGTCACACGGGCTTGACGGCGAAAGTGAGGTACCCCGTGTGCCCCTTGCTCTCCGCCGCGGGCCTCGCTGCCACGTACCTTCTCGCCTCACCCACACCCTCTGCCACCCCCCTCTGCCGCCTGCCCGCCTCCCTCCTCCCTCTGCCCGCTGCCCCTGCCTCTCCCGTCGCATCATCCTCTTGTCGCCCCCCCTCCGTCCTCGCTGCGGTGCTCTGCTCCATCCCACCCTCCTCCTCACCACGCCCCTCCTCGCGGCGCCACTTCGCTGCCCGGCCGTCACCCCGCTGGGCCCCGTCGCCCTCGCTGGCCCTCCCATTCTCCCCCTCCTCTGCCGACTCCACACTCGCAACTTGTGAGGCTGGCTTCACGTTTGGCACGGTGAGGACTTCCTCGCGCACGTCGTAGCTTCGGCTGAGCAGCTCCACGGTGCGAATGTCTGGCGGCATGCAGGCAGGCGGGGCGTGCGGGGCATGTGGGGCATGCGGGGCATGTGGGGCATGCGGGGCATGCACACAGCGAACAAGGGAGGACGCAGATGAGCAGAAGAGCAGGAGGAGCAGCGAGCGAGGCATGGATTGGAAAGATGCAGGCAGAGGGCAGTGTGGGAGGGTGGAAGGGTGCAAGAGAGGGCAATGCGAGGCAGAGGGGCGTGTGGGGGGCTGGTGGCGCACCGGTGAGGCCGTGGGCGCGCATGGCTTGGGAGCAGCGCTGCACCTGCTCCATGCACGGCGAGAAGGAGCACACCCGCCCGCCTGGCAGCAGGCAGGTGGCGGCGGAGGGCAGGGCGAGCCACGGGCAGGGCAGGTCGAGGAAGACGGCGTGCGCCGTGCCGTGCAGGTGGGGGGGGAAGCCGTCGCCCTGGATGTCCCTCACCTGCACGGACGCCACGCCCGCTATGCCGTTCGCCTCAAACTCCGCCCTGCACAGGGGAGAGTGCAGCCAGGCGGGTGGAGCACGCAATGTGTTGTGCAGGGCCAAGAGGGGAGGCGGCACAGAACGGAGGATGGGAGCACGAGGGTAGCTGACGAGCCACTCCTGCACCGGCAGTGATGCCAACCACGCTACTTCCCTCCCCCCTCACCGCCTGCTCACCTCGCCTGCTCACCTCGCCTGCTCACCTCGCCTGCTCACCTCGCCTGCTCACCTCGCCTGCTCACCTCGCCTGCTCACCTCGCCTGCTCACCTCGCCTGCTCACCTCGCCTGCTCACCTCGCCTGCTCACCTCGCCTGCTCACCTCGCCTGCTCACCTCGCCTGCTCACCTCGCCTGCTCACCTCGCCTGCTCACCTCGCCTGCTCACCTCGCCTGCTCACCTCGCCTGCTCACCTCGCCTGCTCACCTCGCCTGCTCACCTCGCCTGCTCACCTCGCCTGCTCGGCGCGGCCGTGGTGGAAGTCGAAGGAGAGCAGGCGGCCGGTGGGCGCCACGGCGCGCGCGAGGGAGTGCGACAGGCTGCCGCTGCCCGTGCCGCTCTCCAGCACGGTGGCGCCAGGCGTCACGGCGAGACGGGCAATGATGAGCGCCATGTCCGGCAGGTAGAGGATCTGCGTGCGGTGTGGCAGCACCTGGTGGGGTGGGGGGGAGGGGGAGGGGTGGGTTGGGGAAGGTGAGGGTGGGAGGTGGATGAAGAAGGCAAGGGAAGGCAAGCGAGGTGCGATGCAGTGAGTGTGCCGTGTTGCCGCACCATGACCTTGCCACTCCACCACCACCACCCACCCACCTCACCCCGCCTCGCCTCCCCTCCCCCCCCACCGCAGCGCACCTTGGTCCAGAGGGCGGGCGAGGGCGCGAGCAGGTGCAGGAAGCCACCTCCCTTGGCCGCCCGCACGCGCGACCCCACCGACCGCCCCACCCACTCGCTGTGCCGAAACACTCCAAAGCTGACGCGAGGGGAGGGGGAAAGGACCAAAGGGGGAGGCGATGAAGACGGGAGGGGAAAGCAGTGTGTGGGGAAAGCAGTGTGTGGGGAAAGCAGTGTGTGGGGAAAGCAGTGTGTGGGGAAAGCAGTGTGTGGACCTCAGCTGTGCCCCTCATCCCACTCAGCTGTGCCCCTCATTGTCCCTTCCGCCCTTGATCCCAACACCCCCCATCCCATCCCCACTAAGCAGCGCTGCTGCCCCACCCCACCAGTCGCCCTTGCCCCACCGCCATGCACTCCCACCGTTCCTGCACCACCCTCCCTCCCTCGCACCACCCCCCGCGCGCCACCCCCCGCGCGCCACCCCCCGCGCGCTACCCCCCTTGCGCCAGCGAGGGTCTGACCGGTTCTGCAGGGAGCGGCCCGGCGTGACGGTGGCGATGCGCATAGCGTCGCGCGCCTCGTACACCACCACGCGCTCGCCCTCCTCCACCTGCCGCACGCCCGCCCGCCGCGGCCCCACCACCTCCATGCCGCCACGGAAGTAAGCGGACTAAGCCGGGCGGAGTAAGCCGGGCGGAGTGGGCTCCTGTGGCTCGAGCCAAGGCAAATACGTGATTCGTTATGAGTGCGCGAGTTTCACAAATGAACTGACATGCGCTCAGATTTGAAAGCTGAGAAATTTTACTGGATGCCCAATTACTGTAAAAGCCGAGAATATATAGGCAGAGCCGAGCTAGGCGAGGACCTCGGAGTAGCGAGGCTCGGAAAGGAGTGGTGGCGACGCGGTAGTGGTTCAGGGCGAGTTTTTAGAGGAAATGACAGACCGCCCGGTTTTCGAGTTTCCGATTCCTTTGAACAATGGTTTTGACACCGCCTCGCTTTTCCGATCGCGTCCGATTCCTTGGGGCAGTTTATTTCGACATTTCCAGTTTTCTGTGACCAGGAAAATTATGAAGTTTACCTGGTTTAAGTTTAGTGGCCTGTGGAAAAAAATAAACCCCACTCGGGGCTGGCCATTAGGGAGACATCAACCCTAAACACCGTGCTTCATGGTGTTTAGGGTTGATGCCACCCAAATTGCATGCCCTCCATGAGGGGTATATATTTTTTGTCCCGAGTCTTTCTTAATTGACGCGACAATTTTATTTAGGAAGCCCAATAAGTTAAAACTAGTTTCGTTTCTGGACTCAAAAGGGGGAAATAGCGTACATATCTGACCGAAGGTATCGGACGCGAGCGCAAAGCGAGGCGGTGTTAAAACCACTGCGGAAAGGAATCGGAAACCCGAAACCAGGGCGGTCTGTCATTCCATCGAGTTTTTGGTCGAACCAGCCAATTCGAGCGCTTCGAACATCTACAAAAAAAAAAAACATCACCGTAACGATTTACAGTTTTCTTACACTTCCGCAACAATAGCCAACTTCTACGTATAACTTACGAGTTTTCAAACTGGAGGTTATTTGTCAGGTTAAAACATCAACGGTTATCGTTGATGCGCTATAATGCGTATAAAAGTAGCTCGGGCAGGGACATCACGAATTTTACATTACACCGTATTGTCAGAATCCCAGCCACTAACCGCTCTGATAAAAGGGCTTATTTGTGTAGCGGGTGAGTGCGCCCATAACGCACCAGGCCAACGTGTCTGTAACCCTTCCCTAGGATCATCGGGGATCTCCAGTAGACCTCTGACACCTTCCCGAACTAGAATGCCCAAAGTGCACACACCGGGATTCGAACCCGAGACCTTTGCTCTGATACCATGTCGAAATAGGCTTAGTAACCGTGGCTAGGGTTTGGGAACTAGCTTGAGTGTCGAGAGGATTGAGCATGCCAAAGAGGATTGACTTAGAGAAAACATGTACAAGATATAGGAGTGATATGGAAGGAAACAAAGATGCACCACCAACAGAAAGTTGCACAGTTACACTAAAGCTAAACTACAGGCAATTACATAAGATATGTAGAAATACATATCACGACACGTGCGTTCATAACAGATTTCGAATTAGCCTAAATTGTGTCAATGCTAATTTTGCAGGAACACACAGAGAGGTGGGATGGCAACAATGGGCGTCAGGCACTGGCCCGAGAGCGGTCTCGTCGAACAGACAGATAGGGTGATGAAAGGACAACGGACGGTAACGAAACCGCGACAGTCGACGGCGAACGACCGACAGTAGACGACGATAGCGATAAGCACCGGTTGCGATGGCGGAGAGCCAAGAAATCAGAGGCGTGAGGAGCAATGGCAGATGGGGTAAGGCAACAGCACACGGGTGAGCAGGCGGGGCTCCTTCCACTGCCGAGTCGGCGGCGGCGGCGACGGCGTGGCGGCGGTGGAGGCAGCACCATCACTACAAGCAGCACAGACCGACACCGCCGCCGTTCCCGCCACCGGCGCCATCGCCACCGCCGCCATCCTCAGCTTGCGCGCCAAGAAGAGGGGGAGCGTAGATGGGGAAAAACAATGACGGGTGGCCGCGCGGAGTGGGAAAGGGGGGGCGGAACGAGGTGGGGATTCCGAGGGAGAGGAGGGGAAAATAGAGCATGCGGGCGCGCGTGGCTCGGGTCTGCCGCAGGAGGCGGAGCAGAATGGGGAGGAGGTGAGAAAGGGCAGGCAGAGGGATGGAGAAGGGCGGGAGAGGGGAAAGGGGCAAGAGCGCGCGAAAGGCGAGAAGGGGGATGCGAGGGGGACCAGGTAGAGCGGTGCGATTGATTCGGGGAGGGCACTGGGAGGGGCATGGAGGGAACCCGGAGGGAATTGGTGGGAGAGCGTAAGTTCAGGTTAACCTAGCAACGTGGGAGAGCATGGGTGGCGGGGGAAGGAGAGGCAGACACCGAAGCAGAAGCGAGTGAGGCGCTTGAAACAACTGGTGGTGTTGGCGAGACAGGCGCGGGGGAAAGGGGAGGGGGAGGGGAGATGGGGGAGACGGGGAATGGGGAGGGGGACGGGAAGAAGCGGGAGACAGGGGAGGGGGAGAAGGGGAATGGGAAGGGAGCTAGGTAGGGGGTGAGGGAAGGAGAAGAATACGGCCGTGTGGATCATGGGGGTGGGGGGACGGGACTCATGGCGATGGTGGAAGGTATGGAGGAGGCGTGAAGAGGGGTGTGCCACACTCATGGGGGTGGAAGAGGCAAGGGGGAGTTCAGAGGGGGGAGAGGCGAGTGGGTGTGGGGATATAGAGAGGGGAGAAGAGGGGAAGGGGTCATGGTAGTGTGGGATGGAGCGCAAGGGCGAGGAGGAAGCGGAGTGCATGGGAGAGGAGAGGTGAGGGAAGGGGGACAGAGAGTGGATGTGAGGCAGGTGGATGGAGAATGAGTGGGTAGGCGAAGGCGAGGGAGGAGAAGGAGAGAAGCGAAGGGGCAAGGAGGGGAGCAGAAGGGATGGGAGGTGAGGGGAGGAGAGGTGGAAAGAAAGGAGAACCAGCGCCTCCTCCCTCCCTGCCCTCTCTACCCTTTTCGCCCCTTGACCCGCCTGTGTCCCCTCTGCCCTCTGACCCGCCGACCAAACTTTGCACTCTTCCCCACTACTCTCTCCCCACCCTTTCACTCCAAACTCTCAGGTATGCCCAGCAGGCGGCCACGCCTGATCTCAACGCGTTGGTGGTTCTACTACTGCCACAGCTCCTCCACCTCTCTGCTCCTCCCTCTCCACCAACACGTCCAGTAGCACAACGTGTTGCTGGCTGCACTGTTGACGAAGCTGCTGTGCTGCGCCTTCACTGCTGTTCTCCCTCCCCCCTTTCTCCCCCTCTTCCCCCTCCTCGGTCTACCCCCCCTACCTCCTCTCCCTGCAAAGCCCCCAGGTACGCCCACCGGAGGAGCTGAACGCATTGGTGGCTGCGCTGCTGGCTCGTGCCCCTTCCTCCCCTCCGTGTTTCCCATCCCCATGTAGCAGTCTTTTTTATTTTCCCCCTCCAGGTACGCCTACCTGCTGGTCAGCCCGAGTTTCATGCACTAGCAGAGTTGCTGCGATCCCACAGCTGCCCCAACCTACTGCTTCCTCTCCTCTCGTCCCGCGCTACCCTTTCCCCGACTCTCCCACCCACTAGGTTCGCCCACCAGGCAGTCACTTCCAAGCTCAATGCACTCGTGGCGGCACTGCTGGGGGAGCTTCCGCGATTCCCAAGTGAGGGTGGTTTAAATATATTCCATTAAGGTGAGCCCCCTTTAGGGGCATGGGAGGAAGGGGCATGTTGTGCTTCCAATACAGGGCATTTTCAGAAAGCACCCTTGAAGATGAGGCCCTTTCAAGGCGAGCCCCCCTTGCCCGTTTTCAGCCCCCCTCTCATCAACCCTTTTCTCTCTCCCTTCCACCCCTGCTTTCCCCTCCTCGCCCTCCCCATCCCCCTCTGGCCTCCTCATTCCCCCCTGGGCCCCCACATTCCCCCCCCGGGCCCCCACATTCCCCCTTCTTTTCCCTCCTCCTCATCCACATCCCACCTTTTCCTCCACAGTCCCTCTCCTTTCACTCCACCTCACTTAACTCCTCCCTTTCCGCTCCTCGCACAGGGATCGTTGTTCGCCCTAAGGGGGCTGAAGGCGGCCATTCTTTCCCAAACCCTACTCATGGCAGCAGGGAGCCATGAGGGAGCGTGTGCTAGCAGGGCTGACGGAGGTATCTCTTTTCTGCATCCCTCTCCACCTCGCTCCGCACACCTAGGGAATCAATGCGGCAACGAGTGCTAGCAGGGCTGAAAGTGGTGCGAGTCACTTTTAAAAAGTTATCAAAGCTGGGGTGGGGCAGGTGGTGCACTCCCCCAACCATTTTCCACTCAAACTTCTCCACACACGCATGAGAGCAGGGAATGGCTCCGTCCCGACGTCGCCTGGTCAAGGTGTCCGCAGTTGTTCACTGTGGTGTGATGGGAGTGCAGGTATGAGCACAAGCATGCGATACCATCCTGCACTATGCGGCTCCAGACAAACCACGCTAGCAGATCGGGTTAGCACACTCCAAGAACGGAGTGTACGTGCTGGATTTTGACATCCCTACTGCAGCGGCGACATGGACGAGTTAATCGATCTCCTCCCACTGTGCGACAAGCACATTCACCGCTCTTAGTGGAAGCACCGTGACGGAAGACCATGGGTGCCACACCATCTGCACCCACGCAAAGCCATGCTGCACAACCCCGACCCTGACAACATCGCAGGACGCGGACTCGCGGCCATCGCCGGAGCTGAGCGATACGCACCGCCAGACGAAGGAATGTCAACGCTAGAGCTCGAAGTCGCGTCGCGCCACATCTTTGGCACTCCGGAAACTCCCCTCCCATGACCCGCTTTGGAGATGCTTGAAGGGATCCTGCGCGTGGGACGCCGCGGAACTTTCGACGCGCGCGGAGTGGCACGACCCTACAAGGAAGAGTTCAAGAAGGTCTACCCCCATTGGCACGACCCCAAGAAGAAACTTACTGTCGAAGATGAAGAGGAGTTGGC